TGGCTGGGGCAGGAAAGAGCCGCTGGCCACGAGGACGGGGTGTTGGTCCCAGCCACTGATGGGGCCGAGCAGAGCACGAGGCCTCTTGCAGACACCTGGAGCAGCCTCCCACTTGCCAGCCCCGCCCTGGTGGGGTGACACTGTCCCCTCCCTGCAGGACACTCCCACGGAAATCCTTAGTGGGACCTTTTGTGTCTCTTGCTGGTTGCTGCTTCATCCTGGGGACCTGAGGGCCCCTCTGCAATCCCATCCCTGGGGCACAATCTGCTCTCCAGATGAATCTGAGAAATCCAGTAAAGAAACTGCCCAGAGGTTTTTGCTCTTTTGAGCAGCAAAGGTGTTTATTTGTCGAGGTTGGGAGCAGGCGGGGTTGGCACCACAAAGCTCTTGCTCGAAGGTGTCGATACAAAACAGGGTAATTTATACAGTGTAACTTCTGTGACTGCAACATCTTACATCCATATTCATTTGATTGCAACATCTAATCATTCATGTTGATAATAGCTGGAGTACAGGCAGAGCTCAAGCGGAGCTTGGAGTGGAACTTTTCTTGGCCCTCAGTTCTGGGGGTTCACCCCCCTTTCTTCATCATCGGGGCTGAGGTCTCTGCAGTCTTCCTCAGTGTGACCCCTCTAACATTCCATTGTCTTTGCCGCAGTCACTGAAGCTTGGAGAGAGCCTTGGCTTTAGGCCTATTTCTCCTGTTCAAATGTCTACCTTGGCTGACTTTGCCTTAATTTCTGGCCTACAGACCCATTGTAGAATGTTTCCAGCACTCTTAAGATCAGGTCCAAGGAACGGAACAGAACAAATTTTTCTTTAGCTATTTAGGCAGAGCAGGTATGGGGAGGCTTCTCTCAGCTGAGCAAAATATTTCAGGGAATTCTTTAGGCCTTGCTCTCATTTCAAGGGGGAATGTCTGGGAAGGTGGCACCCCAAAGGTGAGAGTCAGAGGAGAAGGGACCCTTGGGACCCCCAAAATCCCAGACAGGGGAGACCCTTGGAACCCCAAGTGGGGAGACAGGGAACTCGTGGGAGAGATTTTTTTTGACTCATCTTCATAATTTATATTTCAGCTGAATCTCAACTTTTTACAATTTGAGGGGCACATGTCTTCTTGTTATTTCTGAGGGGTTTTTGCCTGAATCTTGGTGGTTTGGGTTTTTCTAGGCTGATTCTTGATGTTTTGGAGGTCCCCAAGAACCCTGAAGTTGGGAGATGGGGGAGCCTTGGATTCCTGGGACCCCCAGCAGTCTGGAGAGGGCAGGGACCCCGTAGAGAGGAGACCCCAAATACACACGGGACTCCCAGAAGCCCAGAAAGGGGGGACCTCCAGAATCCCAAAGTGGAGAGACCAGGGAGGAGGAGCTCTTCACTGGGATTTTTTTGGGCTGAATTGTGATGTTTTGGAGGTTTTTATGGTCCCAGGATGCCCAGTGAGTTCTAGAGATGGACTTGGGCAAGAGGAACCCCCAAGGCAACGCTCAGCCCTTGTTTCCCCCCAGCAGGATTTGTCTTCCCCAAAGCTTGGGCAGATGGAGGAGGAGGCTGTGAGGAAGAGGAAAGAGCTGCGGGTCCACCAGGCAGGTGAGGAGGAAGTCAGTGCCCCTTTGGCCCTGTCTTGTGGTGCCTGTGGGGGCCAAATTTGGGGGGGATGTACTTGGCCTTCCCTCTGGGCCGGAGGCAAATCCCCTGCCTGTCCTTCTTCCTTCCTGCCCCAGGCCCCGAGCTGAGGACGGAGAGCACGGAGGACAAATCCCCCCGGCAGAGCCTGGTGGGAGAGGCCGTTTTGAAGGGCTCCCCGGCGCAGGAAGGCAGCGGGGAGGAAAAGGCCCAGAGATGCCCCCAGAGGAGGGGCTGCAAAGCCAGCCCAGGGAGCTGTGAGGAGGAAAGAGCCGTCCTGTGCCGGGAAGGCGACCGGAGCTTGAGCCGGAGCTCCGAGCTGGTGGTCCCTGAGCAGCCTCCCAGCAGGGAGAAGCCCTTCAGGTGCTTGGAATGTGGGAAGAGCTTCAGGGTGAGCACCCAACTCCTCATCCACCAGCACATCCACACTGGGGAACGACCCTACACGTGTGGGCAATGTGGGAAGAGCTTCAACCAGAACTCCACCCTGATCCGCCACAAGCACATCCACACTGGGGAACGACCCTACATGTGTAGGGAATGTGGGAAGAGCTTCCGGCAGAGGTCCAAGCTCCTCAGCCACCAGCACATCCACACTGGGGAACGACCCTACACATGTGGAGAGTGTGGGAAGAGCTTCGGGGACAACTCCAACCTGATCCAACACCAGCGCATCCACTCCGAGGAACGGCCCTACACATGTAGGGAATGTGGGAAGAGCTTCAAGCAGAAGTGTGCCCTGACCCAACACCAGCTTTCCCACACTAAGGAACGACCCTACACATGTGGGGAATGTGGGAAGAAGTTTAAGACCAGCTCAGCTCTCCTCAGCCATGAGCGGACCCACACAGGGGAGAGGCCCTTCCGCTGCACCGACTGCGGGAAGGACTTCAACCGAAACTTCCACCTCATCACCCACCGGCGCATCCACACTGGGGAGAGGCCCTACAAGTGTGGGGAGTGTGGGAAGAGCTTTACGCAGAGCTCCCACTTGACCCAGCACCAACGGACCCATCGGTAAGGGAAGTCCTCCGAGTGCCCCGACTGCAGGAAGAGCTTCGGCCGCTGCTCCCACCCCGAATGACCCCCCTGATGGTGAGGCAACCCCTGGAGTCCAGTGACTGTCAGTCCATCCCTTTCTACCAGAAAGGGCCAGTCCCCTTTGCCAGGGGCAGGTTGTGCCAACAGAACCCTTCTTGGGGGTTGTGTGGAGATTCCTGCCTTGGCTGGGACCCCCCAAGGTCAGTGCTGGAGGTTGAGAGCAGAGATCTCCCCCCGAGCGTTGGTCTGGGGGAGTTCCATCCATCTCTAATTCATAATTCTTGCTTTGGTGCCAGCTTGAGTAGAATTGCTTCAACAATTGCTTTAGTGTAGAGCACTTTCCTATATTATGCTGTCCTACTGGTAGTTTTAGTGTTTCTATTGTGCAGTAAATAATTCTGATGAAGTTCTTCTGTCTGATCATTTGTTACCCTAAATAATTCATTTCTCTCAGTAGATCTGATTTACCATCCTTAAAACCTGGGGGACAAAAGTGATTCAGTCCCACCTCTGTAAATCTTCTAAACTGAAAGTGTTGGCATAACCCAAGGCTGAGATTGGATCCAGCAGCCACCAGCACTCCACAGTGAGTTGGGAACTCAGGGGATCTAACCCCTTTCCCAGCCCCTCGTTGCCCAAAGACCCCCATGGGACCATCAGATCCACCAGACCACTCCCACTTTTCCACCCTTTTCCCTATTCTTCCCACTTTTCCATAGTCCCCTGCTACAATCTGCTTAAATATTGCAGAAAGAACTTCAGATTTGAATATTCCTTTGGGCAGAAGTAAAACTCACACAAGTTATCTGTGTATACCAAAAACTGATTTTTATTAATTGCTAAGACATGCAAAGAGAACAAGGAAAAAATAAGAAAAGGTTGGAAACTGCTAAGATTATTTGTAGATGCAGAGAAAAGATACCACTGAAAACTACCTTTTCCCACTGAGCTGGTTTGTGTGGGGGGGAAGAGAAGCAGTTTCTGCCTTTTTTTTCTCTGTCCCTGCAGCTTTTGGATGTTGTCTCTGTAGCTGCAGGGGCTCTGACAGCTTTAGTTCTCTGCAATGCACCAGGTGTGGTTTCACCACTCACACCCCTGTCCCAGGCCGTGCAGAGTCTCAGCTCAGCCCAAGCTTTGGGCTCTCAGAAATATGGTCAGGGTAGAAGGATAAGGTAGAACTCCCACATGTGGCACGGTGGTCTCAGCTCTCTCCAGGCCAGCACAGTTCCAGTCTCCGGTGGCAGGCAGGCAGCACGGGGTGGCGGAGAAAAGGTGAGGGGAGGTGGGCAGAGATTCTCGGCTACAGTCACCAGTTCTTCTCCCTTTCCTCTCCCTGATTTTCCAGAATTTGTCCTCAACTTATATAGCATTCAGAGGAGGCTGTACGTGGTTTCTTGGCTTGTAGCCAGCTGAGATATTGGAAGAGATATGATAATCATAAACAATAACAGGATCTTTTGGCAGGAAAATTCCGAGGGAAGTCCTGGTGAGAACTTCTGGCAGAGAGCTGACAGAGAATGTTTGATAGGAAGTTTTTGCCAGGCAGAAACCATTTTTGGGATTTCTGTATTATCTGTGTGTTACAGATGGTTGCCATGGTAAGTGACAACACAGGGAATACATAATGGTTACCATGGTAACCGACTCTAGTGATGGGATTGTATGATGGTTGCCATTGTAACTGTCCATAGCAAATGGAATGCATGATGGTTGCCATGGTAACTGACTGTAGCAATGGGATAGCGTTATGGTTTCCATGGTAACCGACATATCAATAGGAATGCACAATGGTTGCCTTATTAACTGACTCTAGCAATGTAAATGCACAATGGTTACCATGGTAACCCACATCTCAATGTAAATGCGTAAAGGTTGCCATGGTAACTGAAGTATCAGTGAGAATGCATAATGGTTGCCATGGTAACCAAGATATCAATGGGACTGCATAATGGTTGCCATGGTAACCGAGGTATCAATCGGATTGCATAATGGTTGCCATGGTAACCAACCATTACAATGAGACTTCATCATGGTTGCCGCGGGAACCACTTGTAACAATGAGAATGCACAATGATTGCCATGATGTAAGGGTGGTACTTTTGATTTAGATGATCATTGGAGCACAGAGGGGTGAGAAAGTGATTGTATTCGCATGTGAAACCAGCCAGAGTGTTGTACAATGTGACTTTATTGCACAAGTTCACTGTAAAGCCCATTGTGCCTTTAGCAAAGTCAACTGGATGTCCCCCATTATCAGAGCTGAGTTCCTCCTTGGCTTGGCTCCACTCTGCAAGAGAGATACAAATCCCCTTGGAACACAATGGGACAGGTTGTCCCTAGGGCTGAGGAAGGTGATGGAGAGGAAGATGATGTGGGCAGGGGTCGTTGGCCCCTTGCCC